CTAAGAATATTTTACACCAGCAAAAAAAAAAAAGAACTCGAGATTAACAAAAAAGAATAATCCGAAAAATCAAATGTTAATGTAGTACTGCATTAAAAAAACCTATCAAGAGACTTTACTTTGATCCTAGAATAACAACGAATGATTAACCTGGGATGACCTCGTCGGTGTTGAAAAATATTCCACTCCCCCTAAATCCAATCATCATCATTCAATCGCGAATAGGTGACAAAAAAGAAGGAATAGGTTCTTCAATTGTTGTTTTCGAAGTCATTGTGAAACACTCATTAGATGACTAGTCCTAAAGCATTTTACCAGAGCCCATCTGGCACTACGCAAAAGTGAAGAGTTGATCTTTGCCGGATAAATCCTGGCAACCATCGAACACTTCTCGAGTTAACAAATAGTCTCAAGAGTATGTAACTAAAAGAAAATTTTTATTTAATTCAAAAATAGGGTTTAAAATAATAATTCTCTATTTATATTTAATTGAATACAATGAACTTTTGATCATTTATCTCTCAATTATTAGTAAATAATTTTAATATTTATTTCTATTTTAGTTGATAATTTACAAAATAAAAATATGGTCTCATGTCGAGTGTGTATGCAAAGTGTTGTAATGAATTTAATTATATTAATTTGGTCATTAATACTTGATGGATATTTTATTAATGAAAATCGTGGTATTAAAAGTGGTCTTGTTTATTGTGAATTAGAAGGATGGATATTACCAACGTAAGATAAATTTATTCTTTATATTATTAATATAGATTTTCTTTATAGATATTCATTTTTTACATCAATTGGTATAATTATTGCTTGTATACAATTAATTCTTTTAATTGTTTGTTGTGGTTGTTTAAAAGCTGAAGAATGTCTTCGTGTTCGTTCATATACAATTGATTTATTATGGGCTATAGCAAAAGAAATTCCACAAATAATAATTATTTTTTATATAAATTTATGTCGTGATGGTTGGTTTAAAATGTCATCATTATTTAAAGCAATATTTTCAATATTTGTTACTATATGGAAATTAAATAATCTTTATACATTTTTACATAATGATATTAAATCAAATGATATACCAAATTGGTGTCGAGCTAAACGTTTATATATTTGTTTTCCAATTTTTTTAATACCAGTTTGGATACTTAATTTAGGTTTATCAATAATGATTGCTATTTTATTTATTCATCATCGTCGTTATGAAACTTATATAGATATACCTGGTTCAATACATAATTTACATGTATATGATAAATATTTATATACAAAATATATTGTTCGTACAGGTATTTATTTACCTTGGCCAGATACAGAATATGAAAATTCTTATATGAAATTAGCTGAAATTGATTATATTATGGCAAATAGAAAAACAACAGTTCATTTAGTATTTAAATTACCATATATTTGTTTTGAAAGATCATTATTAGATCGAACACCAAATCAATGTTTTAAAATTGATAATGAAAAAAAAATTTTATCGAATATATCAATAAATGAATTTAGACAATATAATGGAGATAATAAAGAACAAAATGCAACATTTACATTTCGATATAAACCACAATCAAATAAATATAATTTAGGACAAATTACTTATCATGGACATATAACATTAGGTCCATTATATTTAAATAAACTTTTATATTTTCGTTTACATCATGCTAATGCTCAAGATAATGATGATGATTTTGTTTATCGAATATCAACAAATACTTATCAATTTTATATTGTTGATCATCAACTTATACCAATTGAAAAAGCTTGGCGATATGGTCTTGGAAAATGTCGACCTTGTCGTTTAGGACCACAATTATCTACGAGTTAATTTTTCTCTATTGTTATCAGATGTATTTTATACCTTTTTTCCTTTGCTCACATTATCTCAGTAATGTATTATTTGGAGACAAAATTTTATTTATAAGCAGTTAGATTGACATATTTATATATATTCAATTTTTATGTGTCAGATGAATATATATAAGATAATATTGATTTGAGCTCCGCCTTAATCAAAAATAAATATTTTAGTCCTTATTATGACAGATAAATGAAAAAAAAACACGCCTAATCACTACATGAAACGATTCCACAGGATATTTATTCGGATATCATTGTAATTTTAATAATCTTATTTCAAGGTTTCTATGAATCAATGAATATATATATGTACTTTTATTTATCAGCGAAATCTAGACATCGTTAAATGTGTAATCAATAGAAAATATAAATGGACAATATGTTTCTATTCCACTAGGACATATGTCGAGCTTGGTGTATTTTGAGAAATCTCGTTCGAATAACTTTGTAAATATTCATGCTTATATAATAATATTTCTCTAAAGGAAATAAAACTAATGAAAAAAGAAATTTATTTTTTCCAATTCCTTCGAGATATACTTGACAGTAAAAATAATTCTTTAGACAATTCAGAAAATCTTATAAATATTCGATGAAAAAACAAAAACTAATAATTAACTTTCTCTCTCTCTCTCTCTTTCTATTGAATATTGAAGAAAAACAAAATTAAAAAGAATATAATGATTTATATTCAAGCAAGACATAATTATTATTAAACATAAAATGACTGGTATACAAAAAATCAATATTGATGGGACCATCTGTTTTATTCTTAGAATTATTTTCTTATTCTCACTATTAATCTTAGGTTTTTTTTTTTCTTCTTGACATATTAAATAACCTAAAAAGCAGATAATTGACAAATAGAATTCTTTGCATAACTATCATTAAAAATTCATCATCATCATCATCCATAGAAATTAATTATAGAAATTGAATACAAAAAAATTCAATTGAGTCATTTTTTTTTTCACAATCGATTAATTTTCTAAGTAGCATCTGTTGTGACCTTTACCACTACAAAAAAGACATACACATACGCACAGTTGTTATTTAGAGTATTCTCACTACTATATCATATTGTTATTCTATTTCTTATATAACTATGATCGAATAGTTTCAATATATATATATATATGGAATAATCTATAAATAACTATACAAAAATAAATTAAAATAAATTTCTTTCAATATATAATGAAATGCCTTGATTGTTTTTTGTATTGATCATAAGAGACCTATTCAAAATTTGTTTTTTTTTAATATAAGAAAGATAAATATAACGTCTGTTTTTTTTGGAATATTATTATTGAATTTATTAAACAAATGTAATCAATTGACACTTCAGAAAAGCAAAAATATATGAATCGACCTATATTGATAATTTTCAATCCTTGTCTTTATGCTAATGGCAAGAAAAAGAATCAAACAAAATAAATTCAATTATTGATGAACTATAAACAAATTTTTAGAACTAATTAGATTAAAAGTCAATAGTTAGAATATTTCAAGTTCTACATGATTTGCAAAGAAGTTAATAAGTCATTGTATGAATGACATGAGTTCAAGCATTTAAAATAACATTAGTTTGTTCAACGTTTATCAATATGATAGAAGTAATTGAATTTATTCCGATTTTTTTTTTGTCATGAAAACTACTAAACATTTATCATTAGATCGCTCTCTTTCTCTCTCTCTATATATTTATATGTTCTTCTTACTTGTCAACTGACTACATTTGTTTAGTAAACTTATTAATAATAATAATACTTCAATGCAGTATTTGTTTATCCTATTCATAATAGCAACAAAGTTTGAATGGGACTCTTTATTATTAATAAAATAATCAACTCGTTTCCTTGAATCGAAGGAGACACAGTTCGATTTGTTCTTGTATAACTATTTATAGACTGTCATATATGTAAGAATATTGAAAGCGCTTAATTGATGAAAATAATTATAGGAGAAAAGGTGCTTGTCAAAGCAAAATAAAAAAAGGATATATATGTACAATTCTATAGATGCTTGTTGAAGTAATATTTCTTTTTTTTTTTTTTTTTGTAAATCAATTTTTCTAGGTTCATTTGTCCTTTTATTACATCTTCAAAAATCAACGTTCACTGAACAAAACTAATTAAATGCAATGCATAATGATAATGATCAAGTGATAGTATGGACACGTATCAAGATTTTTTTTTTTTTTCGGGCGTAAATGATGCATATCAAGATGTTCGTTATGCGAGTTCATCTATGTATAAATCATCAAGATTTTTGTCCTTATTTATTTTACATGCTTGATTATTGCTGGCAATCATGGTAAAGAAGAAAAAAAATGAGAAGATAAACGATTTATTACTTAAAATAAGCGCGTTGCAACATATTTTCTTCTTCTTCTTCTTCTTCTTCTTTTTTTTTACTAATAATAGACCTTGTTGGTATAATGAATATGATCATTTACTGAAGGATAGATAGATATATAGATAGATAGATCGATCGGTGACTCTCCTTAAGCAGCAGGTGGGAAGAAGAGAAGCAGTATATATATATAGAGCCAAAAAAAGAAATGTCCTTGTTGGTTTTTTTTTTGAGTAGCAAAGAAAAGAGTCTATCTGCTTGTTTTCTGTGGCTGCATTTGTCCCACAAGAGAGGGAGAGAGAGAGAGAGAGAGGGAGAAGTAAGCGTCATAGGCATTATTAATCATAATTTCATTCCTTTTTTCTCTCGTTTTGGCTTACTTATTTGCATCTCTTTTTTTCCTGAATGACGTCCGCGAAGCAATTGTGTATATTAGTTATGAGTGGTCAAATTTATAGTTTGTATTTGTACGTGCGAAGAGAAGAGATGAGGAAAGAGAGAAAATGAAGGATGCATAACGACAGAGATATGATATTAGATTAAAGCGAGCGCCCATCTTTTTTTTTTCTTTTTTTTTTCTCTGTTTCTCTTTTTTTTTCTATGGTTTGTACGCCTAAGAATACAAGCAAAGACGTTGATGACAGTCTCATGCTAATCGAGCGTTGACTAACGTATTGCTATTACTACCACTCCTTTAACCGCACTAGAAATAATAACAATAACAAAGCCACTGTTGAAGAAGAAGAAGAAGAAGAAGCAAACAAGCAAAATTCATGGCAAAGAAAAGCAAAGATGCAACAGCTTCTACAGCTAAAAAAGAAGCTAAAGTTAAAGGTCCTACAGATCCTATTGCTATAAGAAATCTTGTACGTTTATTAAATATACTTGCATTATTATTAGCAATAATAGCATTTATTCTTCAATTATTTGCTGTTATAACTCATCATTGGAAATGGCAAACAACTAATCTTCATTCAATATATGCACATAGAGATCGTGCTGTTCAAAGAAATGTTTATGATGATAGTCGAATTGAACAACGTTATGGTTTATATACACGTGATGTTAAAGTTTATGCTAATAATGATGAACAACTTGATGCTCTTGCAAGTACACGTTTTCCAAGATTAGATAATGGTGATGAGGATTTACATAGATGTTTAGGACAAACATCTACACTTCGAGGTGCATTACTTACATGTGCTGATCGTATTATTTCACCAGAACAATGCCATTGTCGACGATATCCACATTGGAATGCAATAATTTTTTTTGAAATTACTGCATTAATATTACTTGGTCTTGTTGTTCTTATATCTGCATTACTTTCAACACAATTTAGTGCTTTACTTAAATTAATTGGTGTTGCTTTATCATTTCTTGCTTTTCTATTTTTATTAATTGGTCTTATTCTACTTCTTAGTTATCTTAAACGTGAAACACGTACAATTGCTGATACATTTCCTCATCTTCATTCACGATTTGCTCATCAAGTTGCTCGAACTTATCCAGCATCATCACATAAAATTGTTCGTCGTCAAGCACATGAAACTTATCGAGCATATCCTTTATCAGCTGGTCAACGTCCATTTAATCAAACACATTTTTATCAATATCTTGAAAATACAAATCAATGGATTCTAAGACCTTATTCTGATTATAATAATATTCCTTATGAACCACGTTCACAACCCATTGTTACTCAACGTGTAACACCTGCACCAGTTGCATATAATCCATATGGTCCATCGCTAGGTTATGATCAAGTTTTTGAACATACAGATGCTTGTATTGGTTGGTCAACTGTATTATCAATACTTGCTATGATACTTGCATTACTTGTACCATTAATTCTTGCTTTTTCATGGCTTACAGCTAAAAAATTAGGACCAGAAATAAAAACAGTAACAACAACAACTGTTAAAACTGAATATGTACCAGTGCCACAAGAAGTTCATGTTGAAACAGTACCTTTAACAAGAGCAGTTATCACTGAAGGAGTTCGACCTGGACCTTATGATATTCATAGTGGACGACAAGAACCAGTTGTTATACATGATGTTGTTATTCGTGATGATCGTCCGTTAGCAACACACACACATCGTACATAAAGAATTGAATTATTAATCATATTCTTATTCTTATTATTTTATATTGATTAGTTGCATCTTTTCTTTTTTTTTCTTTTCATCAATATTTTTTAGACTAACAAATACACATGCATACATTTATTTCGTTTATTTTAACCCCAGCTTTGTTTTTTTTTGCATTTAACTTGTATTGTGTTTCTTTTTTTTTTCTTCGTTTTTTTTTGCTTAAATAATTATTATAGTAAAGTCTCGCTTTATTTTTTCTTTCTTTTTTTTTTCTTTTTTTTTTTATATTAAATCTATATATGTTTTATTTTACAAGCATTTGAATCGATTGAAATAATTCGTCATATTCTTCATTAGCTATATGTATTGAATGATCAGAACTAGTTGCTCGTGTTATAATAATTGTTGGTTTTTCATTAGTCATTGTTTTAGAATTATAATTATAATTTTCTAATCGTTCAATAGCAGATTCTAATGAAGAAATACGTTCTTGAAAACCTTGTCCAAGCCATTCATTATCGAGTACATCTATAAGAAAGAAAGAAAAAAAAATTTTCATGTATTGAATTAGAATAAAGAAATACCAAGATTGGGTAAATTATTTTTTACATCTTGATGATAAGATGAAGAATTACAAAGAGGATTTGTTAGATTGTCTTGTCGATCAGTCAAACATAATGATCGTAAACGTGTTAAATGTAATAATGGTGCAAGAGATTTAAGTCTAAAGACAAAAAAAAAAGAAATTAGATAAATATATGTCTTTATAAATATAGAAATTTATTTGATAGAATGATAAAATAATTGACAAGGATAAAAAAACTAACTAGAAGGTTATTAGTACATATATTTTATCTGATGAAAGATCTTGGTATAATCTTGTTGACAAATTACTTTTTTTAACAATCAACAACAATATCGCTCAACAATTGCATATCCAAAAATCTTCTCAGTTATCCGTGTACAGATAGAACTCATTGATATATATATATATATATATTCTTGTATGCATAATGCTCACAAACAAAAGCTCTGACTTTTTCTTTTGCTTCCCAAAATCGTTCGTATATTCCAACAGTAACTTATTGTTATCATTGTCGTTTTATCATCATTTTTATCATCTTGTATATAAAAGACAGACATGTGTCAATCATAATACATTTATCATTCACATTCAAGGATATTTATATATATATATATACAAAATGATGTTAAATTATTCTCACCCTATAAGGTTATTTCCGGCAACATTAAGAATTTCTAAATTTTCACATGTTTGTAAACCATCTAAAGAATTAATTTGATTTTTTGCTAATGATAATTTTTGTAATTGTGTAAGTGTACCAAAACCACGAATATTAGTAAGATTATTATTATTTAAATTTAAGATAATTAAATTACGACATATGCTTAAACTATTAGCATCAGTAAGATCTAATTATTTAAATAATATTTTCATTGAAAATTATAAAAATACAAAATAAACAACTTTATTTGTTGTTTTTATTTTTTTGTCTTACTTCGAGAATTTAAATCAAGAAATAAAATACTTTCAGCATCAAAATGACCTTGTTCATGTTTAACAATATCAATTAAAGATTCTATAATATAAAATTGAATTATTCCTTTTCTTTTTTTTTTTTTTTGCTATTATTTACTTGAATCAGACATAATCTAAAATATATATATGGAAACAAAAAATTTATTTATTTTATTTTTTGAATAAATAGATTTAACAATAAAAATAATGAATATTTATCTGACTTAGAAAAAAAACAAGCAAACAAACAAATAAATAAATGTTTAAAAGATTTATAAAATTATACATGAACTATTTTTAAATGAAAATGGATATTGATCACAACAAATACAACGTTTCAATGGTTGTTGTGTACGGAATTGTAATTCACCTGTATCATCATCATCATTATCATTAGCAAGTAAAGCATGAGTTGTATTATTAGTTGATTGAAATGTTTTTAATTCTTCACGTAATTCTTCTTTGGTTAATTTTTGTATTGGTAAAACAAAATCTTCTACTTCTTCACTAGAAAAGGCCAAAAAACAAAACATGTTTTAAGTATAAGAGAGTAAAAATTTCGATTCCCTATAGATCATGATAGACGTTAGGCTAGAGACCGTGACAGACATTGATATACAGTGACAGACTTCACATCAATAATGTCTCGTTATGACGTCGGAACTACTTTCTTATTACATTTCTGAAGGATTAAGTAAAAGGATGGGTGAATAAATGTCTCCCAAAATAGATAGGACACAAAAAAAAACATAATCTTGCTGTGATTATCAATAACAGATACATTAACGTTTTACATTCTAATCCCGTAGGGATTGTACTAATAGTTTGTTTTTCTTTATGTTAAATGATCTATCTTATCTTACATGAAGATTTTCATGCTAATAAGAAATGAAATGTAAGTGATTATAATATAATTATTTACATTGATTGAAAATATATATATACTCATTACATGCAGATCCTACAAACTTTTCTTTAGGCAAAAAAGTATGTTTTTTGATAGAAATTCCATTATTTTGATTCTTCTAAGTGAAGGAAACAATATTTTTCAAAGAAAAAAAAATATATGTACACCTCGACTTGACCGTAGTTGTTACAAAAAAAAATGAATTATGACTGTTTGAGGAGAAGATTCAAATCATTTTTGACCCTTGCGCATTCCCTATATCTCATAGAAGAAAGTTGAGAAACTAGGGAAAAACGGGTGGAAGTGTCCTTAATAATAGAAATTCTGTATAGTTGAACACTATTTCAAACATTAATCGGAGGAGGGATCAAGTTCTCCAGCTAATAAATTGCTTTTCAGTAGAGACTATGTGCATTATGTAAATTCACATGAGCTATGAATATCAGAGAAAGAATTTGAGCTCTTAGCTTATTACTGCATTTTTGCGATATTTTTTACATGAATATCGCTGTCCGGACATACTGTTTTTTAATTTGAAACTTTGGATAGAGATAGGTCTTAACGAGAATAGTTTTTGTTGATATTTTCAGATCTTGCTGATGTTCCTATCCTAAAATACAACTGTGATAATAGCATGTCTTTTACATCGATCATATATAAATCAGTAGATTTAATGCTTTTATTTCAAGATTGATGCAAAGTTTCAAGTCAAACAACAGTATGTTCGGACAATGATATTCATTTAAAATATATCCTAAAAGTGCAGTAATAAGCTAAGGGCACGAATTCTTTTCAGGATATTTTATAGCTTATTTGGATCTATATAATGCAATATAATCTCGACTCGAAAGTAATTTGTCAGTTGAAGAACTTTTCTCGTGAGAAGAATAAATTGTTCAAATGAATGATTTTCTATGAAGAAGTTCTTAAAATAGAATTTCAATTTAATAAAAAATATAAAAAATTTATCTTCGATACATTTCACCGAACAGTAGAAATTGGTCATAGTTCGTAATTTTACAAGAAGCTTTATACATCAAATGAATTTAATGGTTAAGTGTTGATGGAAATAACGAAAAAAAATTTTTTTTTCTCTCAATTATGTGTTATTAATATTTCCATGAAGACTCTTTAGAAATTTTTAAAATCAATTTAGTTAAAGATGGAGTAAGTTTATACATAAAAATAAAGTTCAAATAGTTACTAAATATTTTTGTAGAATTCACATTATATTTTTGTCAAAAAAAAAATACAGTAAGTTTTCAGTTGAGATTTTACGGCTTTCTCCAAAGCAATGAGGAGAAGAGAGTAAGATCAATGATCATTGGATACGTTTCTATAGCAACTGATCGGAGTTACAGTTTTGTTTATTTTTACACAGATAAAAATTTATATTCAAGATGTCAAGGATAATAGTTAATGATTGATTGATTCGTCATATAATCAATATAAAAAGTGTGAACTGATTAGGTTATAACTTTGAGAAATAATCATTGTCAGTATTTCTGATCTTATTGAGGTCTGTTATAGATATAATGGATATGCACGACAATCCTTATTTACCAACTAAATCAATGATTAGAATAATAATAATATTAAATTAAGAAAAACGGAATAGAAAAAATGAATAAACAACAAGGCAAACTAAAAATAGAGCGATAGAGTAGAAAAGAAATAAGACCGATCGATTATTTCTTGAAAAATAACTATCGTCTGCTATAGATTTTTCATTTGATATATTTTGTATTAGTATAATAAAACTAAAGAACACATATAAGTTCTACATTTGAGCCCTAAAAAGAGGGTCATGGTTACAAATTTCTCTGAAACTGTTACTATGCACATTAATAGAGAATTATAAAATTCTTATACATAAAGAGATAAGAAAAATCTTAAAGTTAAATAATTCTTCAAGTTATTATCAAAACATTTTTTGTAATATTTTAAAAGTAAAAATTTCTAAATTAAAAAGACTAACTCAGATTGTTCATTGTCACTAATTGTCACTAAAGGTTCACATGATGGATCATTTGCTGATTGAATTTGTGTATTAGGAATTCTTAAAAACAAAATAAAAAAGAAAATATTAAATAAAAATTACAAGAATCAATTAAGAAATTTATACTTAAATCCCGATGTAATTTGAATTGTTTTAGAACGAAGTAAAGATTGTACTAGATGTGGTTTCTTTGATATTATTGGACGAATTTTAGCTAATGGATCTAATTAAAAGAAAATAATATTATATAATTCATAAACAAAAATTTATTCATACCAATTGATTTAGAATTATGTCGACTCGGTTGAATTGTCGCAACATTTGATGTCTTACAAACAAAAAAAAAACTAATCAAAAAAAAATTTTTAATAATAAATCATTGATATATACATTATGATTAAAATTCGAACTATCCATAGTTTCACCTTGAGAACGAAAAATAAAAATAATCCTTTATTTGTATCAATAATAAGTGAGCACAGAACAGCAGTTGCTGATTGACTAAAAGAGTATAGACCTCGATTTTTATTGGTTTAATTTTTATACAATCACTTTATTTGTTTGATTGAATAATTTTTAGTATATACTAAAAATTATTCAATAATATGCAAAAAAGATTATCAATAGTTGATAATTATGCATGAATAATTAAGAAATTTAGATTTTGATTATCAAAAAAAAAAATAGAATGATAATTTTCTATATTTCAAGAGCGGTTATACACAAGTAAACATATCTTAACTTGCTTCGCTTATCTATAATGTTGTTAAAATAGATCAAAAACACAAATATAGGAAAATACTCGAAAACGTCAACTACCACTCAGCAACAGTCGAATATAGCCGATGTTTTTGAGTATTTTCGTTTAGTATCATTTGAATATATTTTTTTTTCTTATAGAAATGATCAGCACAACGAGCTCTACAAATGAAAAGAATCTTCTGAAAACTTTGCGTTTTTTCGCAGTTGACTACTCGTGGAAGTATCTATCAAGAATAGGATTCGCAAGCATTTTGTTTTTTAGAAATCATCATCCAAAACAGTAGGAGGCAGTTATCGAAAAATTCTAGTTTTTGAAATGAGTTTGTTAGTTTGAAAGAGCAATAAAAAGTTATTTAGAAATCCAAAGTTTAACAGCTTTTGGACAATGTCTTCTAATATTTCGATTACCTAATCGTTTTCACTCAAAATACTACTCTGTCAAAAACTATGGTTTGTTAATTATTTTTATTTATAAATTTTTTCCTCACAAAAATTCGATCAAAATCGTTGTTCAGTTATACTAATCGATAGAGTGGAAGCTGTTCTATCAAACCCTATATTTCATATACTTTGTAAATCGCAAAAATCTATTATTATAGGTGAAATCTACCATTTTTTAATCTATTTTACATGCTTTGTTTTTATTTTTCTTACTTCTATTATGCAACTAATTTTTAAGAGCCTAAAATAAATTTTCTATAGTTTGGTAGAGCGCCAAAAGACGCATCTTTTGGTAAAAAAATATTAATTATAAAGTACTACTAAGATTCGAAAAAGTCCATGACAATGTTGCTCAAAATACATTATACTCGATATTTTTATGAAAAAATATGCATAATTTATTTTATTAAAATATCGCTTGTTCTCGAAAGAATCTAAGTTGTTTAGTTTTATATTTATAAAAACTAGTCAAAAGAAGGAAATGATCGAACATCGATAATTATTCCATTAGACGATCCGAGCAGATGCTTAAAATATGTGTGTGTTCTTCATCACTAGATATCTAAAGGAGGAGAATCGATAGTTGTTAAAAATGGTCTCCTCGAGAAATTTGATTTCTTCTATTTTCGCTGTACAATAGGTCGATTGAAACAATCAATGGTCGTCACATATATATGTCGTATCGAAGTTAGCATGTTTATCGAAGTTGTAACTTCGATAAACATATTTCATCGAAGTTATAACTTCTATAAATTATTTCATTGAAGTTACAACTTTGATAAAGTGAGGTTATCGAAGTTGTTTGAATGAAATTAAATGGTCAAATTGTTGATTATTTCAATGATATTATTAGACTTGTTAGCAACAGATCATTTCTCTACTAATGACAAATATTTATTTGATAGAAAATTCAACAATCATAAACCATTAATAAATATTGAGACTAAACATTTTTTTATCTCTTCATTTTTTTTGTTTTTGTTCAGAAAACAAGAGATAACTCGTAGAAAAGGTGATCATAAACATTGATGAACCATTATTAGGAATAAGAGTATAGACTGATCGTCACTGTATAGAAAATAGCTGCTTTAAATAAAATAATAACCACGTATAGATCAGTTATATAAGCTAATTATATGATTAATAACCTTTACAATCGGAACTATTCGATAATTGGATTATAATAAATGAATCAGTTTCAATGAAAGTACAAGTAAATACAAACGCATAAAGTATGTCACATTTGCTCATAATCTCAATTTAAAATTCTTCTCAATTCACAACTAATTCTGAAACCATGTACAAATTGGTGACTTTATCTGCCATTGTCTCCTGTAGTAATAAGAAAGCATAAATGTTTTAAGAACAACATTCAGATATCCTCATCAGTAACAACTAAAACATCGGCTTCAACTACATGTTCTTTCATGAAACTTACAGCATTATCGATAATACAAATTGTAAAGATAAGTGTAACATATCTGATCTATACGTGGTTATTATTTTATTTAAAGCAGCTATTTTCTATACAGTGACGATCAGTCTATACTCTTATTCCTAATAATGGTTCATCAATGTTTATGATCACCTTTTCTACGGGTTATCTCTTGTTTTCTGAACAAAAACAAAAAAAATGAAGAGATAAAAAAATGTTTAGTCTCAATATTTATTAATGGTTTATGATTGTTGAATTTTCTATCAAATAAATATTTGTCATTAGTAGAGAAATGATCTGTTGCTAACAAGTCTAATAATATCATTGAAATAATCAACAATTTGCCCATTTAATTTCATCCAAACAACTTCGATAACCTCACTTTATCGAAGTTGTAACTTCAATGAAATAATTTATAGAAGTTATAACTTCGATGAAATATGTTTATCGAACTTACAACTTCGATAAAATTGTTCATCGAAGTTATAACTTCGATACGACATATATATCGAACAGGACTGTTAATTATAAATTGTTTATTCATCTGCTATTTAGAGTTCTACAATTGTTTTATAACGATAGAACTTGATTTTCACTTTCAAAATCACTTTTCCATAAAGTGTAATTTTTGACGTCATTCTTAGATGGACCAGGAGTGAATTTTTCGATAAAGAAAAAGATTGCGAAACTTTTTTGAAATGCTCTTAAATCTACTCAGCTTTGAAGACTTTATCATACAAATCGTATTATTCTAATCAAAATTTACTAAATATCAGTCAAAAATAACCATAAAATCATATCTCGAGAATAGTTTCTTTGTATGATCAATGTTTTTATCCTATTTTGAACTGCTTGCAAAGTACTATCGAGCCAAATGAATACTGGTCTGATAGATCAAATTTGATTTAATAACTATAAAAGTGGAAGCTAATACTTAACAATAATGACGTGCTAATGTTCTTGAGTTTTGAAAATAGAATGACATCAATAGTTTGTTGCATTTAATCAAAAGTATAGATAAGTAAGATATTCGAAACAATCTCGTTTTATAACACTGACACATCAATAAAAAAAAACCGAGCATTCTTATCAGTGAAACTAATATAGAAACAATTAAACTATATTGATAAAGATAAGTAGTAATTTGATAGAACTTTGATTTGATTACAATCAAAAGAATTGAAATAAAAACATATCATTTCAACTATCAAGCTCATGCTAAAAAAAAATGAATAAAAGAATAATCGAATTATCATACTTGGTTTCTGTACAAGATTAATAAGTATGAGTAATTGGTTCTCGTTCGAGTCGAGTATCGGTACGAAGAGTTGTACCCATGCAGTATTCTAATAATCTCATGTAATTGATTGATAACTAATTATGCACTATCAATATCTGTCAAATACAAACAAATCATAATATTGATATTATGATTACAGATACAGAGGACATGACAATTTGATCGTAATTTCAATGAACTTTCTGAAATTTCTATCAAACAACATAGACTCTTTCGAAAATAAGTGGTCTGTTAATAAAATAAATGATATGTACATTTTCATGAAAATATCGAATATGATATATTTTGAGGAATACAAAAAAAAAACATACAGGATAGAAGCAAAATTTATTTCAAATATATTAAAAGAAGAAGCAAACATTTTTCTACTAAATGTTAACTTGATGATTAAACCTACACATTCAATCAACTAAATCTACACCTCACATCCATCGCGTACTACTACTTTTGTTGTTGTAAATGAACTCGAAATTTTGGTTGGCAATACTTTAATTCAATGAACTGAAATCGAACGATGTAATCTGTAGGAATTCTACAGAATCAATCTTCTTTATTACAAAGTATTTTATGAGAAGATTTTCTAGGAAAAAAAAACTGTAGAACCGATGTGAACAAGGTTCTTAAATAAAGTTGTAATGTGTTCGGTATAAGATTTATTTTATTTAGATATTCAAAGAAACTCATTCTTATTGACTATTTTATTACTAAAATGAATGTTGTCTCGAATATCTGAATACTTATGAATTTTTGTAAAACTATTGCATTTTATTTGCATGTTACAGATAGTAATAGAAATATTAGAATATATGAATCTTGGTTTAATCCATTTATTTTCATGTAAAATATAATAAAATTACTCGATGACATCAATTCACGATGATACAGTACAGCATTCCAATCAACTTCAATTGACTTCTCGAATATTAGACTAAAATCAACTCTAGACATGTGAGCGTTTTGTAGCACGAATCAGTAGACTATATGGTACCACAGATGATCGTTGATCAGTTTTCCATTGAATATTGGCATTTGGAAGGAGATTACAAACATTCGGTTTGCCACTAGGCTTCTTTAGTATATAAGCTGGATTTTGTTTACATTGAAGAACTACTTGAAAATCGTACCAGTCATTATTAATTTTCACTTTATCAACAGGGCATACATGGTCTAGAGAAGCGTAATTTATTGAGGGTGATGTATAAATATGATTTTGATCTGGTAGATTAAGAGTGAACTTTCTACCCGATAGAAGATCATCACCAGGAAATGGTATGAAACGATTGTGAATAATATCGTCAAGTTTATCTTTTGATGTTCCATAGAATGTTGTAAACCATTTTTGAAATATTTGATTATTGGAAGCAAATGCTTTGTCCACTTGAATACCAAACGATACCCAACCTATGGGTATTGTGAATTTCGGATTGTCTATCGGGCAGACTTTCGGTTTCGAAGGTCCATAACATTTAGTGCAGTAAC